TTCAGGCTCCAAATTTATCTTTCTTATGACAACCCTGCCGGTTTGTCCTTACTTAGTTCTATTCCCAGATCAGCTATTAACATTATGAAGAGTGTAGAACTTAAGGGCATCCTTGTCTTACTAAATCTTTGTCCAGAATTCCTCCAAAAGCAAAGAGTTTCCCCTTTCCTTGCAAGTTCTTTCTCAACTGCGTGTCTTAATATATAGATGTTGTCGATGGTTCCTCGCCCTTTCGAAAACCAGCTTGAGTGTCTGGAGAATTCTTTCCCGTCGATGTCGTTTAATAATCTATCATTCAGAATCATTGCGTAGTTCTTATACGCCGTGTTCAAAGTGAAATGCCTCTGTAGTTTTCACGGTTTCTTTATCGCCTTTTTGTGCAGTGGCGCAACTAGCCCAATTTTCCATTCTTCAGGTATTCCTTCTCCATGCCATATCCTTTTCATTAGGTTGCATATCTCTTGTTGGGTATTACCTTGTGCAAAGACCAATCTTCATTTGGGATACCATCTTCACCAGTAGTTTTTCCTCTTTAGTTTTCTTATTTGCTTTGTTATTTCCTCATCTGTTAAATCTTCTTCCTTTCTCATCTTTGTCTTCTTCTCTATTCAGTCGCCTACCGTATTTGCTTTTCTCCATTCAGCACGAGTATAAATGTTTACACCATTTTTCCATGGGATGTCTTTGCTAATTTCTGACCTAGACTTCCTATATTTATTGATGTACTGCCACACTTCTTTCAGTATTTGGGTTTTATTTCTGCAATCTCGTTTTCTTTCATTTTGCTTTCTTTTCAAGCATAGTTTTCGGAACTCCTTTCTTTCTTCAAGTAATCTTCTTTATTGCTTGGCCGTGTTCCCGTTTTAATAACTTAATTTGACCTTTGTTTTCTTACTCTTGCATTCTTTATCCCACCATTTTTGGCTGAATTTCACCTATCTTTCTTTCCATGTTTCTACACATATTTTTGTTGATAACTTCTTCAATTCTTCCCAGTTTCTATGGATGGTAGCATCTTCACTGAATACATTATTTATAGTAGCAAGTTGGAATTTCGTTTTACTGTCATCATCCACACTATTTTTCTCCAGATTCTGTTGATTCTTTTTGCTTTTGTGGCTAGTTTACTCTTCAATTTACACATTATGGGCATGTGGTCTGATTCAACTCTATCCAACACTCTAAATTCTTTTACCTGTACTAAGTCTTCAACACCTATTATTACGTAGTCAATCACAGACTGTCCTGATTCGGCAAGAAATGTGAAACTTCCGTTTTCATCACCATTAGTGTTTCCATTCAGCACACACCACCCTTCTTATTCTATAATATTATACTAATTAGTAGCTTCCCTTTTGCGTTGCACTTATTGTCTTTTGATTGTCTTTGTGTATCCTCTTCTTCGGGTCCTGCGTATAAGCTACCTTTGTGACCTGTTCTTGAGATCCATTATTTTCCCCTGTTCTGATTCCTCACATATGTTTTTTAGCAATTTTTTAATTTTACCTTGATTGTAGACTGTCCATATTACCCACTTATCATCCCCTATTTTGGTTCTGTGTTTAATAAATCAGATACACCGCGATTTGGTGGAGTCATAAAATAAATTTAAAATCTTACGAACTTATATTGAAAGTCACAGGCTCACTTAGTTTTATGACTATATTTTACTTATGGTGTATATGGGGGGCCGAGAAGTGGAAGAGCTGACTGCATTAATTTTTGACATGTTGAGGTATATTTGAGAACTTATTTTCAAGCAATTTTATAAATGTTTAAATATAAACATATATATATATAGAGTAAAGTCTGCCGGTTGTTTCAAAATCCTGAATATTAATTATATGGGAGCTAAGGCAAGTTTTCGCCCGATATCTATTTTAGGCGCAAAGATACACTGTTATTAGAAAAATACGCTCTCTCAATTTCATTAAAGTACCTCCCACTTTGGCTATATGTGGTATAAAGTCAGCCGGAAGTTCGAAAATATTTATATTAGGTATATGGGGACTAAGGGAAGTATTGACCCGATTCAAACCATTTTTCACAAAAAGGTATATTGGTATCAAAGAAACATTTTCTGTAATTTTCAAGAACATGTCTCACAGATTCACCACATATTCGGTAAGTGGGGGAGGTATGTACATTAAACCTATTACAACTTACAGTTGTATATCTTAATTTTTTGCTTAGTGGCCCAATTACGGTCATATACGAACTCGCATACACTTTTTTTCGCTGCACAGACGGATAGACTGACGGACGGACAGTCACCCGAATTTTAAATCGTCTCGTCGCTAATTATATATATTTACATATACATATATATATATAGCTCTATATATATCTCGATTAGAAATTAGGTGATACAAAAACCGTTGCAAGAGCAAAAAAATTCGTAATTTCAATTCTTCTGCTTGAAATCTAAATCATTTCGTTCCTATATGCATTCGTTCCTTTGATGGATTAAAAATCTGTGTTATAAATTGCATTATTCGGAATGAAATATTTTTTGGAAATGTTAATATGTTCTCTGGTCAAATACAATGCATTTTTAGTAATGAATAAAAGCTATTCACAATTCAAATGTAATAGCGGTTTCTTTCTCACAAAATATGCTGTGAATATTGCGTGTTATTTTCTCAAGATTTTTTTAGGTTCGTTTGTTTTTTAAAAGTATTTCTTTCTTATCAGAAATAGGTTCAACATGTTCTGCCTTTCTCAAAACGTAAGGGTAAGAGTAGTCCAGCAATGTTTGTTTATCGTTTTTAATAGTTATACCAAGTTTTTCTACTAATTATTATGAATCGGTCAATTTTGTACCGTGATTAGTGGAAATTGCGAATGAGTTGCTTGGAATTTTTTGGTTCATTTATTATTTACAAAATGGAACATTGATATACGAGTATTAATGAGGCAACATTTTCATCGAGGAAAGAAAACGCTATAAGCTAGAAAGAATTATAAATCTCTTCCCTGATTATTAGAACCTAACCCAAGTCATCAAGGTAGCAATTTTCAAAAGGCGTGATAACATAATAATCGATGTGCAAAAATAGGCGACAACTGCCAAAAGTTCGACGCATAGTAAAAGATACATGTCCATTACCCCACATCATCGGAACACTAAACCCATTGTCTAAGGCATCAAATACTTTGCGCATGATGATTGATACATTTTTTGAACATCGATTAAAAATGCAAATGTTCAAAGATCTAGTTCGGTCGGAAGGAATTAAGCTAGCCTTTATTGACATTCACATTAGATTATTTTCATTGCCTACTTTGAACTTGGTAAAACTATCAACAAACAATATTTCTTTACGTTTCTGGACCAATTGAACGTCAAGAGCAAGGGTAGACCATAGCTTTTCAGCCAATGTAGTATGCAATACCTCCTTAAGTTAAATATGGGCGTCACGTTTAATTGAAATAAATCTATTTAATTCTTTAACTTGTTTTTTGATATTTTTTATTATTCCTATTAACTTCAGTATAAGCTACTTATACATAAAAGCTAATATAAATTAAATTTATATAAAGTTATATATCCAGTAAATCCATTTGCTCTGAAGTGCTTTTGGAAGTTTCTGCGTACTTTCTTGCTTTTATTCTCAAATCCACAATACTAATTTTTTTACTATATACTGATGCAATAGCAGCCAGATCAATTGGGTTAGTGTAAATAGGAATCCAGTTTTTTGGTGAAGAGTCGTTAATTAGAGTACCGCTCTGAAAAAATATAATAATGAAAAATATATATTTAAATAGACTTGCCATTAGAAGTTAGCAGTCATTCAATTCAATTGATAAAATGAGTACTATCCTGATATAACTCTTAGTCACATCACAATGCGTCGTTATCCCGTTTAAAGTGATTATAGAAGACGACGGATCAAAACGAAATTCTACTATATCAGTATTATTTAGGTTTTAAAAAAACGCGAACCGTGTTTTAAACAAGAAAATTTATAAGATAATCTTTTTGAGAAAGATTTCTCCGTATTTTTAATTGCATTTGAAAAATGGTTTATAAAGGGTGGACATTTATTCTCAAAATTTACACTAAAGAAGTTAATAAAATAAACTAGATACTACAACATTAAAAAATACATAAAACAAGTAAGCGCCAAGTTCGGGTGGAACCGAACACTTTATACTCTTGCAAATTGCAAAGATCAAAGTAGAGATAATTTCTTTAGGTGTTAGGAAAACTTTATATTAATAAATGTTGCAAAACAATTCGAAATTCATTAATCGATGAAATTTTAAATGGATTACAATCAAATTTGGTATTTTAAAAAGTTATTTTATAGGTCATAAATTAAAATCATCTTCAAATGAGATATATATATCATAGTTTGGACCAATTTATAGACCAATTTAATTCATATTCCCACACTTTTTTAAGAAAACTTGTTCATTTGTTTTATTAAATTATCACACATTTTGTCGGGGGGAAAGTCGGAAATTATTATTATATACAGGCTATCTAGGGGACAGAGAAAGGGATGGGCTAGTTGAGTTAATTTTGACATTGTTGAGGTATAGTTGAGATCATATTTTCAAGCAATTTTATAAATATAACTCACACATTGAATGACATGTTCGGCATAAGGTTTGATAAGATAACGAAAATCAATATAGTTATGTACAATAGTATTTGGGAGTTGGAGTAATTCGTACACTAAATTCACATATTTTCGGCATTAAACTATAGTATATCCAAAATTATACGTTAAGCTATTGTATATCCAATATTAATCAGTTAATTTTGCTAAGATATCTTACATAATATCTGCTATATATGGCATATGGCCAACCGGAAGTTTGAAAATCTTATGCTAGGTATATGAGAGGTAGGGGTAGTATTGACCCGATTTTATCTATTTTTGACTATTCGCAGAATAAAATGCTTCTGAATGTCCCTGAACCTCACATACCATCACCAACATATACCATATCGATTAAAATCAACCTTCGTGCTTCCTCATGTATGTCAGATATGTTAAAATAAATATACTGAACCCTACAACTTTCATTTTATTGTCTTTAAGTAACGTAAAACACAAAATATAATTCATAACACCATAAAGCATTCATAATGACAAAAAATTTCGAGCAGGGCACACTTCATATTAATTGACCTTTATTTGTTTATTTGTACGTACATATTTTGCCGTAAGCGAAGTGACATCAAACCCAATGTTTTGATGATAAAAATAATTTGGTAGTTTTGCAACAGATTTGGTAGGCATTTTGGTATCCAAAGAGTCACCGACGCAAAACCGTGGACTGAATCAGCTGATACGACCTATCTTATGAGAGCGCAATGTAAATGAACACTCACCACCGTTTCTACCGTCCGCTTCAACAGACCGTACGATAGGATATCCGCGATAATTGGATTTTTTCCGTAGAAACATGTGAGCTAAGAGAGCAATCTCTTGCAACGCAGGGTCGCCAATCTCGATATTTTGTAGTAATTAAAAAATGAACTTGAATATATTTGAAATATTCTTAAAATAACTCAAAATCACAGTCGAATACACTTATTTATAAATAGGTAAACTATTTTTAATAGTTGGATTTTAGTTTTAAGCTTTTACAGTATAAAAAATTATAACTCAAAAACTAAATGTGTGAAAAATCGTGTATACAAATAGAACAATGGCAACATTGGTGAAATGAAAACAAAAGAGAACAATTGATTTCTGCGGTGCAACTACGGGCATAACTTTTGACAAATTGCCGGTGACTGTTTGTGCTATAAGCCGTAGACCGAATCAGCTGATACGACTTATCTTCTGTACGTGGATATCCTCGAAAATTGGATTTTTCCTGTAGAAACGAGTCAGCTGATCGCTTTTTTACAACATATAACAGTATCCATATGTAGAAATTTAAAAATTAACTTGAATAAATTTGAAATATTCTTAAACTAACTCAAAGTCGAATACAATTATTTATAAATAGGTACACTATTTTTTGATAGTTGGATTTTGGTTTTGATTATTTATAAATTATAGCTTAAAAGCTAAATGTATGCAAAACTTCCCAACGCTTCTACTGTTCGCTTCTACCTTTCGTAACGTGGGATATCCGCGATAACCCGTTTTATCCCGTATAAAAGATTCTGCTAATTGCTCTCTTACAATGCAGGGTTGCCAGACTCGATATTTTGTAGTAATTAAAAATAAATTTGAATATATGTGAAATATTCTTATGCCTGAAATACATGTGCAGATATTCTGCAAGTATATCTGCACAATTATCTGCAGCTAGAATACATGAGCAGCAAAAAAACTGCAGATGATTACTGAATGTAAACAAAAGATACGTTAAAGTTAAATTACATTTTTGGTCCTAAAATAACTATTATTATAATTTTTGTTTGATTTATCAACCGACCTTACCAACTATACAAGAGGAACTGGATCATCACCTCTACGACACAATTCGTTTCGTAAACAGTCCTGAGCGCCACATTAAGATTCGTTCTACGATCCTGCGCGCTGTTCAATTCGTTTTACCTTCCCGATACGATACCGATCCTGGCGATACAATTTTTCGTATTTGGTGCTTATTCAAACATCGGCCTCCAAAAATATTTTTAAAATTTAACGTTGATACAATAATTGTAAAAATTGAAAATACAAATTAAGTTAAATAAATTGTTTACGCCCCATACGACGGCATTCTAATTTTAAACGTGTGAGCGACTTTTTCTTTGAAAAAAGTAAGTGTTACTTTTATGCAAATAATGGTTGTTCCCCAATATAATGGGTACAATTTTTAACATGGTCCTTCGAGCCTTACCGAAAGGCACCGTCGGATTTTTATTTACAAAAAAATTTTAATAAATATATTGCAAAAATAATTCCAAATGAGTGCAGTGGAGTTAAAAACAAAGAAAGTACAGTGACTGAATGTGCATATATGCACACATGTGTAGACAAAATATCAATTACACTAAAATTACCAAGAATAAGTAAAAAATTAAAAAGACCAAACCTACCTAATAACAAGTAAGGAAGGGCTAAGTTCGGATGTAACCGAACATTTTATACTCTCGCAAAGTCAAATAGTATACTCGTTTGAGATTTCTTTGTGGATTGACTGATATTTTCGGTAGAAGGTCAACTATAGGCACTGGGGTCCACATATTTAGTACTTAGGGGCTTCCACAGTTTTGGTTCGATTTAGACAATTTTTGGCCGCAAGGTGGCATACTTTAATTGCATTATACACGCAAAGTTTTACCCCGATATAATCATTGTTACCTGATTTGCATAGTGGAAAGTGAAAGAATCAGATGGAATTGAAAATGGTGTTACATGGGAAGTAAGCGTGGTTGTAGTCCGATTTCGCCCATTTTCGCACTATGACATAGAAACATGAAAAGAACGTGATGCACCGAATTTGGTTGAAATCGGTTGAGCAGATCTCAAGATATGGGTTTTCACCTAAAAGTGGGCTGTGCCAAGCACACTGACTAATTTTGAACGCGGTTCCTATAAAGCCAAGTTATACCATCTCAGAGATAAAATTTAATGACTCTGGCGTGTTTAGTGCTTGATTTATCGCGCTTTTATTAGTTTTTAACAGTACCGTTATATGGGGAGTGGGCGGATCTCCCTAATGTGATCCTGTGTACCAAATAACAGTCTTGTATCTTATTGCGGAGCTTAGTTATTGCAAGTTATTTGTTTTTGATTAATGGCGTTTTGTGGGCGTGGCAGTGGTCCGATTACGCCCATCTGCAATACCAACCGTTTTACGGTACCAAGAAACATGTCTACCAAGTTTCATACAGATATCTCAATTTTTACTCAAGTTAGAGCTTGCACGGACGGACGGACGGACAGACAGTCACCCGGATTTCAACTCGTCTCTTCATCCTGATCATTTATATATATATATAACCCTATATCTAACTCGATTAGTTTTATGTGATACAAACAACCGTTAGGTGAACAAAACTATTATACTCTGTAGCAACAGGTTGCGAGAGTATAAAAACAAACCAAACATACATATAAGTATTTTTATACTCTCGCAACCTAATGCTACAGAGTATAATAGTTATCCGCAATAAGATACAAGACTGTTATTTGGTACACAGGATCACAATAGGGAGGAGCGTCTGCAGTTAAAATTTTTTTTTTTAAAGTGGGCGTGGTCCCGCCTCTAATAGGTTTAATGTGCATATCTCCTAAACCGCTAATGCTATAACAACAAAATTCACTGAAAGCAAATGTTTTTAGAACCTTTACCCACAGTGTGAAAATAGTTGAAATCGGGTGGCAACTGCGTCCACTCCTTATATAACGGTACTGTTAAAAAAAAAGCGCGATAAATCAAGCACTAAATACGCCAGAGACATTAGATTTTATCTCTGGGATGGTATGAGATGATTTTATAGGAACCGCGTTCAAAATTAGACAGTGGGCGTGGTACAGCCCACTTTTAGGTGAAAACCCATATCTTGGGATCTGCTTAATCGATTTCAACCAAATTCGGTGCATGACGTTCTTTTTATATTTCTATGTCATAGTGCGGAAATGGGCGAAATCGGACTACAACCACGCCTATTTCCCATATAACACCATTTTCAATTCCATCTGATTCTTTCACTTTCCACTATGCATATCAAGCCACAATGATTATATCGGGGTAAAACTTTGCGTGAATAATACGTTTAATGTATGGCACCTTGTGACCAAAAGATA